TTAGATTTATGTTGTTTACGTTCCAACTTAGCTATCGAATGGACAATGCAAGGAGGAAGAGTGAAAAGATGTAGATACGAGTTTTTCTCCTTTTTTTTTTTCATCGATGACGCGAAATCGATAACGCAGACTCGCTAAATTTTCCTCCAACTTTTTAAGTACGTTCCCTTCTTTTGTCGGCGGCTTATTTAAATGCAGTATTGGTATAACGAAGTTTTAAGTTTTTTTTATCATTCATTGACAGCTTTTAAATCAGCTTTCGAATAAATCTTCGCCTCGAAGAAGGAGAGGAGGAGAAACTTGTCTCGTCCAATGTATTAAGGGAAAAAAGATATTTCCTCGATTATTTATTTCATAATAAAATAATAAAATAAAATTCTGAATAATACCAGTAGAGAGTAGAAATTTACAAGCTTTTCGAACTTGAAAAGCTTTTCAAAGTAATAAGTGCAGGAATACTAGAATAGGAGAAAGCATTATTATTATTATCGTTAATCAATAAAATTCCTCGAAGTGCGATAATGAAAGTGTACGTAACATTACGAATATTAATACTCGTTCCATTTTCGAGATGTGTCTTATCGTTAAAATATTAATAAAAAATATTAATAAAATATAATTAATAAATAATAAAATATAATTAATAAAAATAAAAAAAAAAACAAAAACGATTACGAATCAAAAGTGGAATTTAATTTCTCGTTGTAATTTCATTACATTCGTCCTTAACCGTAATAAAGAAGAAATTCTCCGTAATAAAGAAGAAATTCTCACTCTAATATTCCTGAGATCATTTATCCTGAAGGGTAACAAAATGATTTATAGATTTCCTTTATCGCTTAAAAAGGTATTTTTCTCGTGGCGCGTAGATGTAGGTCGCGGGCAACGTTCCTCTATAACGTTCTCACACCGCGTGGAAAAAATAACCGCGTTACTATATTACCGTTCAAGAGCGGAAGATTTCTTTTTTTCTCTTTCTCTTTTTTCTTTTTTTTTTTTTTTTTTTCTGCAAATTTTTAC